ATGTACATTTCTAAACACAGAACAGATACAGTAGAAATGCAGGTAGTGTAAAAGATTTAAAATGGTCCATCTGTACAGAGCACTTAGCATGAATGGAGCATGCGGGACTGGAAGTTGCTCTGGGTGAGTCAGTGGGTGAGTGGTGAGAGAATGTGAAGGCCTGGGAGATTACGATACACTACTGAAGACCATAAACACTATACTTAGGCTACACGACAATGTTAAAACAATAAGTAATTATACTACAATGTTATGACAGCTGCAGTGTCACTAGGCAATAGGAATTTTTCAGCTCCATTATACTCTTATGGTACCACTTTTACATATTCAGCCCATTATTGACCAATATGTCATTATGCAGCAGATGACTATATACAAAAGCAAGGAAAGCCATACTTGTTTCTTCCTTGATATCATAATGTTTAATACAGATAAATTGCCTGTAACACTGAACAGAAAAACTCACAGGATATAGTTCAATGATGCTGTGGAGCTGAAGACTGATAGCAAATTCAAATACAGTATTTATAAAATGAATTTTTTGTGTAATTAGTTTTAAAACCTAGCAACTTACTAAGGCACTCAGATTCCAACAAAAAGAAGAATGTTGCTTTGAGAAGATTAAAACAGACTGATTAAGAAAGCCCTTCATAATCTGGCACAAGTCTACCTTTCCACTTCAAGGCAGCCACTTTCTGTTATACAGCTCAAGTGTGGGAGTACCTCCACCCTTATAATCGCTGGAGATCTGTATATTTAGGGCAATAATTTTCAGACAGATGACTAAGGGCAAGGCCTTCTAATTCTCAGAAAAGGGTCATTTGGGCTCAAGACAGTGTCATTCCAACCTTATTCTCTATAGTATCTAAAATCAAACTCCCACACCAGTTGTCTTAGATTGGATTCCATGAGAAACAAGCTCGCTGGTGGAAAGTTTCATACAAGAAATTTAATGGCATATGCCCTTGCATGAACGAACACCTGGAGGAGGTACAGGAAGTAGGATTAAGCAGAGGGGAGAACTGTCTTAACAAAGACATCAGGCAATTCCATAGGAACACTTAAGCTGTGATATCCCTTCAAAATTGTTCACTTTGAGGGAAGGAGATTGAGATTTTATACCCCTGCATTGACCAGCCATTGGATATGGACTCTTCCAGGATAGAGGACATGACATTGGGTCAGACAGCTTTCTTCAGTGGAGAGTAATTCCGTGAAAGTGACTGAGCAGTAAATTATCAACCACCAATATTCTCAATAGCTGAGAGAATGAGTACTTGGTCCCATATGGGGTATTTGAGTGGCATGCCACAACACCTACTACACTAGCCCTGCCTCTGCAGTATTCTCATTGTTTCTCCTATCCATTAATGTAACAGATACTTAGTAGGTACCCAACCTACTGGATGCAAGATATCTGCTGGGTCTTGGCAACATAAATTTGAATGTAAAGTGATTCTGCAGTCTAAGGGGAAAAAATACCCCCTCTTCAACACACACACACACACACACACACACACACACACAAATAGTGGTGAGTGCTCTAACAATGATAGACACAACATACTTTGGAAATGCAGAGGAGGAAATGTTTGACTTCCTGGGGAAATTTAGTCAGTCTTCATGGGAGAAGCATGAGCCTAACACATGTATATTGCAATTTCCATGCTTTCTACTTGGCCTGATTGTCCTCTCCACTCTTTTTCACCTATTTAGAGCCTCTTCTATATGGCTCTGACCAGTCCTAACTCTACCCCAAGCTCTATAACTACCACTCTTTAACCCACCTTATGATCTGAGCAACTTCTGTTCTATACTGCACTACAGTTAGCCTCTGATGCCACATGCCATTTACCTTCTCCTGGAGGTGTCATGTCACTCTATTAAATGGCAAAAGCAGCAGGACAGGGTCTACATAATACTTAAGTGAAGATTGTCATATCACAGAATGTAGAACCTAAAAAGTACTTAGAGATGATCTTGACCAAGCATCTCAAATGCAAGGGAGTGGGGCAGGCAAGGAAGGAAAATGTGATTCTCTTGAGGTCTTTCAGCAAAGAAAGCAAAGATTTAAGCTAGGACCAAGTCCATGGACCCCTACCCATTGCCTTACACTATCATCTCCAATGAATGAAACCATTCACAAGTTTAGTCTTAAAAAAACTTAAGGAAACTTTGAAGTATGTGTTAGAAAGTGGACTTTTTTCACCAAAGTAAGAGACAAACTTTATCAAGCTGAGTGATCTTATTTATAACTCCCATGGACTGTTCTGTTTTACTAGACATATTTAGGTGAAGATCAAAAGTATCTTTTGTTGTAGTTTCAACAAATGGTTGGAGCAAATCCATAATAAATTGTGTATGTCCAATTGAGCTACTATGGAGATACTGAAAATGTTTTTGTTCTCTCTAATCTTTATAGTCTGTGTCCAAAAATGTCCAGGTGCTATAATGAGACAAAATTCACTAGTTTAGATAAACTACTGGCTTAAATGGCTGTGACAATTTGTGTCTGTGCATGTGTGTGTGTTTGTCATCTTTATGCACAGCTGTATTTAAACCAGCCAAACCTACTGAGTGAAACAATGGTCCCTAAACCTGACTGATAATCAGAATTACCCAGAGGTATTTTCAAATATTCCTGAGTCCCAGTCTCTGGAGATCTGCACTGATCATGTATGAAATGTGGTCCAAACAGCTACCTGTGAGAGGCTCCCCAGATAATCTTCAGTGCAGCCAGGCTTAGAAATTGTATTGTAAAGTATGGGGTGACAGAGCTTGGCCTGTCTGTGGTGCTGCTACAGAGGGCAGAGTGGTCCTGCCCTCTGACTTATGACTCCTGACTGCTGGTCAGCTTCAGGCAGTCCCACTAGTCACAGAGAGGTCTGGAGTGAGGGAATGAAGGGCACAGCAGCAGCCATGCCATGAAAACTGACAAACATATTTTACATGCCATATCAATAGCATCCCTGAAGGTGAGTTATAACAAGTGCCTCACTCTAATATTATAATACTTGCTCCTGACTCAGGCCTCCTCCTGCCCTAATCATCAAGTCATGTACTCTACACTCTCCTCTGCTCATCTCTGATAAACATGTTGGAAATTGCCTAAAGAGATATTGCACTTTAATGACCTATGTTACCTTAGCATCATTTCCTAACTTAAAAGAACAATAGATCATTGAAAATACCATGAAGGCTATTTGAGGCCATAAAGGCATAAATAAAATAATTATTACCATAAGAGTAACAAGTGGTGTGTGTGTGTGTGTGTGTGTGTGTGTGCGTGTGTATGTGTATTCTTAAAAAAACTAGTCCAAGAAAATGAACTTTATTTATTTAAATTTGCTTGAGTAAGGCTTTATGCATTTATTACGATGGCAGATCAGGCCCTGCTTAAAAATGTGATCATCATCTCTACTGACTTCTATATTCTATTTAATTCAGAATTATTACATTCTCTTAGGCAGTACATATTAAAATTTCCTTGGAGCAAGAGTCTCTCTTCTCTAACTTTGTTAAATAAGATTTCCCATGTAAAATATTTCTATCCATTCCATAGTAACAAGGCTGATTTCAAATGGATGAACCTAGAGAAATTGAGTTCCATTCCCTAAACACTCCATAACTACCAAATAACAGTCACTGATTGCTCCAAGACAAAAACCTGATCTCATTAGTACCTGCTGTTTGGGTAGGGAGAAGACAATTACATGTGAAGGGTACTATGCTTTTGGAAATGCTAATTAATTATACATTATTTATTGGAAATACAATGTTCTCCTTGTACTGTAGCCAGGAAAACAGAGGAAGTGTAAGAACTTAAATAGCTGAGACATGCTGAATTGTAATGAACTATAGTCATTTGTTTCAAATCTGGGATCCTTTGCTGGTTTAAATACAACTTTATATACCTAGTCTCAAAGTCTTTTTCTTTTCTCAGAACAGGCTATCAAGGTCTAAGAGTGTGGAAAGGAAATTACTCTGTTATTTGGCAGGTTTTAGCCAAACTAAGCTGATCTAGGTAGTTTAATTTTCATTTTACAAAGGTAAATAATAGATAAATAAGTGACAGTAAATAGTAAATAAACAATTTCCCAGCCCAAACCAAAAGGCTGGTATCAATAAAGAGATAGGAGCTTGGCATGTGATGGTTTCTGACAAAGTAAATTGCTTTGCATCAATGTTGTAGAGTTGTACCCATGCTAAAGTCTTTATACAGTGCTTTCCTGTTAGCTGGCATTAGTAACAAAAGGCTAAGAGAACACAGGATCTCTGTACACACGAGACAAAGAAATGGAAGTCCTCACTTCCGTTTCTTGCAAGCCTAGCAATTTGCCTTCTCTGCAGTTTATATGTCAACTATGCTGGGGGAAAAAGAGTCTTACAGGTTAAACATGAGCAGTGTTACCTTGATGTGCTCTCATAATGTGGTTTTTAAAAATTATCCATCAATTCTTCCAAATGTGTGGAGAGCAAATGCTAAAATGTGAAGAATACACATAGTTAACTTGAAATTTTTATGTAATTTATTATTTCACCTAAATCATCTGGCTGGCAGCATGACACATGGGCAAGAGGCAGAAGACCTGTGTGTTTCTCTGACACCTGCTCCCAAGTGCATTATCATCCTCAACTCTCTATCACGTGATTATGGTAGACTAGATAGAGGTCTACAAACTTAAAAAAAAATTATACTGTGTAAATTTTAAAACAAATAAGAGTAGAAAATACAGTATAATTAAGCTCCATGTATCCATCACCCAGCTTCAACCACTGGCAATACAATTTCTAAATATTAACATTAAGAAGCATTAAGTTAATAAGTACTCAAACATGGCTTATATGTAAATTATAAACATTTGTGTTTACGTTTATGAGCTACACCAATGTATTATGCACATTTTAGAACATTGATCATAAGTATAAAATGTTAAACATGGAATAAAATAAAATGAAGTTCTGCACCTGAATGTTCATAGCAGCTTTATTTGTGACAGCTGGGAGCTAGAAACCATCTAGATGTCCTCCATCAGTTGAAGAGAAAAGCCAACAGGTATGTTTACAAAATGCAATACTATTCAGTAGTTAAAAAAAAAAATTAAAAAACTAATGCTATCCATTGATATATGCAATAACATTGTAAGGAGCCAGTCTAAAAAGACAACATATTTTGTTGTTCCACTTTTTTTTGACATTCTAGAAAAGATAAAACTATTGTTAAATAAAATTAATCAGTGTTTGCCAGAGGTTATAGGTGGAATAAGAATATAATTATAAAAGATTGTCTGAGACAGTTCTTTGAGGTGACAAAACTGTCTTGAGCCTAGTTGTAATACAGCTATACAAATCTATACACATATTAAAATTCATAGAACTGTAAAACACATGCCAAAAAATCCATTTTATTGTATGACAATATACAAAAAAAGAATTAAAAAATAATCGAATTCGAATGCTTTCTCTTTTCAATCACATGGTTCATTACTCACATTAATTTAAGAACCAGTAGACTATATTACCTCTAAGTTCCCTTTTAGAGACGATCATAATCTGAAATAATGAGGTTACTATAATAAACTAGCTAAAAATTTTTTGACGCTTCTCCCATTGAAACAGGAGGAGTCTACACCCACTCTTTGAATCTGTTAGGGCTCTTGATTGCTTTGACAAATGCTTTGACAGAAGAAATGTTACTATGTCCATTTGGGGAGCCAGATCTTAAGATTCTAGAAGCTTCTACTTTCACATGGCCCACTTACTCTTGGAACTCAGCCACCATGCTGTGGGAAAGGCCAACCAAGCAGCTCCATAGATAATCTCATGAGAAAGAAACTAAGACTCCTGGCTGACCTCCCAGCCAGCAGCCAGTACCAACTTGCCAGAGATGTGAGTGAGTGAGCCTGTTGGAAGTAACTATCTAGCTCCAGTCAAACCACCCCTGCTGACACTGCAAGGATGGAGATGAGACATCCCATCAAGCACTTTCTAAATTTCAGATTCACGATCAAAATAAATCACTGGGTTTGGAGGTTTATTATATAGAAATAGTCAATTTGGTTGATAGATAATATAATAATATATATGTTTGTTTTATAGTAATAGATAATACAGAACTTAAAGTTCTTCAAGAAAAAGTAGGCTTCAGAGTCATGAGTTATTGCCTTAATGCAGAGGTTTTTTAGTGTGTCAACCTCAGCAACCTGAATCGGAGTGATCTGAAGTGTTGTGAAAAATGCCAAACTGAATGCATCAGAATCTCTTGCATTGGGGATCCAGAAACTCAGAGTTTTAACAAGCTTTCCACATGGTTCTTCTGCATCATAATGTTTGACCATCTGCATTTCAGTCACACTGAAAAGAGTAACTGGAAGCATCTGGACCCCAGGATGATGTCACATGTCAATACCACAAAAGGTAAAGAAACTAGTGAAGAAAAAATTACCATAAGCAAACCAGGTAGAGAGGCCCCTGAAGTGGGCTTGTTCTATGAGACAAAATAGAGCCCAGCAAAGGATAAATTCTAAATGTGCGTGAAAAGTAAGAGATAATAAGATCAGGTATATTGCCAAAAATAGGTATGACGTAAACAGACACATCATATTAATAGGATATTTAAGTCCTGTGATTTTATGATTTTTGACAAATTAAATAAGAATGATAGCATGAAGGCAAGATTAGGAAGGCTAAATTTTTTTTGTTGTTTGTTAAGTAGATAGATAGATGATAGATAGCTAGCTAGCTAGCTAGATAGATAGATAGATAGATAGATAGACAGATCTATTTCAAAGGAAATCCATTTAAAAACTATAACCACCTCTCTTTCTCTACGTGAATACAAACTTTATAATTCATTAGAGATATTAGTGCCTAAACTAGACTGCTGTAAGTTATTCTTTTCACTTTCATCCCAGAATCAAAGAGAGAAAGAGAGAGAAGGAAAAAAATAATTGCCACATCTGTTTCAAATTAACTTTGAAATAAAGTGGGAAATGAACAAATTGAAGAAATAACCACTGTGTTCTAGTTACTAAAAAAGCAAAAGCATGCATCAAAGGAGAAGCCAGAATCCTATTGTAGATATATATATTTCAAGCTCAAGGAGCTCAAAGTAGTCTCTGAGAGGCAGAAATGAAAGGGATCTAAGAGTCATGACAGAACACAGAAAGTTTCTAGGTTCATTTTCAGGAACCAGTATTTTCTGGTTTTGTTTTCATTTTTTACCAGGGCAAAAAGTCATCGGCACAACATTCTCTATAGACTTTTTGGTAGCCACTTATACAGTATCTATGATTCATATTTAATTATGACCGTTTTCTCCCACTAAGAAACAAAAATCCAGACTTTTCCCTTTATACTCAATATGCAGAAGTGTACTAGGATTAAATCTGAGTTGTAATAGTAAACTCAAGAGTTGATATAAAAGGTAAATAGCATTAACCAAGGGACTGAATAATAAGATAATACACGTGAACATACTTAATATAGACTCCTGCACATTATAAGGGACCAATCAACATAAATTGCCTTAAATTTTTCTAAAGTTAAATTAATTCCTTTTGCTTTATATTATCTCTATTATCATTTTTCTGATTTTTGAATATATGTTTATTCTAACAGCGTGGTGCAACTATGAAAGTGCATGCATATACTTTATAAAAGTAGTTATATTTCTGAAAACCTGTCAGAAATTAAGCATAAAACTTCCACTGAGCAGCAGGGCCCTCTCCACTCCAAGCCCAGGCACTTGGACAGCTCGATCAGGAGCCTGAGCTGCCCAACCCTTCCTATGCAGACACTGTGGTGCAACAGGGTCCTCTATGCTCTATGCCCAGGATTATTAATTTACCTCCCTAACTCCCATGCAGAGAGCTTCCAGCAGAAGAGAATTCTCAGCTCCATGCCTAGATGCACCTCTCAGTGCTTACTGCTTTCCCACTGGACATCCCTTCAGCACTGATGCTTGTGCCTGCCACTGGTGGACCTGCAAGCAGGCCTGCCTGGTCCAGTCCCACCTATCTTGGACCCTCTCCACAGGGATGAGCAAGAAGCTCAGACTACCCTATACACTCCACGGATCAGTTCATTGCTTGAGACAGCATAGAGAACTTCTCTCAATAAATAATAATCAAGTATCAGACCCATCTGTAGTTAACTCTTACCCATATGCACTATCTGTTGGCCTGTAGTTTGAATTACACTGCCCAATATAAGACCTGCTGACAAAAGAGTGTAGAAGAAAAGTCAGAGACCCTCCCTCAGCATTCTCTACACTCACACCTCCTAGGAAAGTGGGGAAAGGAAAACAAATAAACAAATAAATACAAGGGAATAATGGAAAAAATTACAAAATTTAGAAGTTATAGAAGAATAAAAAATTACAAAATTAAGAAGCATGCCCAGATGAGACGGAACCAGCACAAGAATTATGGCACCATGAAAAATCTGAATGTGGTGACACCAAAGAACCACACTAGCTCTCCAGAAATCCTCCCTAACCAAAATGGAAATTCAAAAATTACATAAATAATTCAAAGCATGGATTGTAAGGACCCTCAAATGAGATCCAAGACAAGTTTGAAATCAAACAAAAACTTTGAAATCAAGACAAAGAAAATTGTAAAGCAATCCAGAAAATAAGGAATAGATACACATCTTTAAAAGAAATCAATCAGAGCTTTTGGAATTGAAAAACTTACTTAAGAAATTTAAAAATACAAATGAAAGTTTTATCAGTACACTAGACCAGGCAGAAGAAAGAATTTCAGAGCTTGAAGACTGATATTTTGAACTAACCCAGTTAAACAAAAATTTAAAAAAAAATTAATGAACAAGAACTTCAAGAAATATGGGATTACGTGAATTGATCAAACCTATGAATTATTGGAATTCCTGAAAGAGGAGAATAACCTTGAAAACACATTTGAGGGAATAATTCAATAAAATTTCCTTAACTTTGCTAGATGGGCAGACATCCAGATATAAGAAATCCAGAGAGCATCTGTGAGATGTTATACAAAGCAAGTATCGTCAAGGCATATAGTCTGCAGACTGTCCAAGGTCAATAATAAAGAAAAATCTTAAAGGCAGCTTAAAAAAAGAAAGATCAGACCATGTACAAAGAGAAGCCCATCAGGCTAACAGCAGACTTCTCAGTAAAAAATGTCCAAACCAGAAGAGATTAGAGGCCTATTTTCAGCATTCTTACAGAAATTCCAACCAAGAATTTTATGTCTCACCAAATTAAGTTTCATAAGTGAGAGAGAAATAAAATCTTTTCCATAAAAGCCATCACTAAGGAAATTCATTATCACCTTACCAGCATTATAGGAAATCCCTAAGGAAGTTCTAAACAGAAAGAAAAGAACAATACCTGGTATGAAAAAAAAAAAAAATACACATAAGTACATATCCCACAGACTCTTAAAGTTACTAATATATAGAAACTACAAACACTGAACAACTTCACAATAGGATCAAAACCTCACATATCAATATTAACCCTGAATGTAAACTGGCTAAACACTCCACTTAAAAGGCACAGAGTGGCCAGGTGGATAAAAAGAGAAAACCAATCTGTCTGCTATACTCAAGAGACCCAACTCACATGTAACAACATTCATAGGCTCGAAGTAAAGGGTTGGAGAAAGATCTATAGTGCAAAAGGAAAACCAGAAAGAGCAGGGGTTGCTATTCTTATATCAAATAAAACATTATTACATAATTATAAAGAATTAAATTCAACAAGATGACTTAACTATCCTAAATATATATGCACCCAATATTGGAGCACCCAGATACATAAAACAAGTACTTCTAGACCTACGAAAATACTTAGACAGCTAAACAACCATAGTGAGGGACTTCAACACCCCACCATCAGCATTAGACAGATCACTGAGGGAGAAAATTGGCAAAAAAATTCTAGACTTAAACTCGACATTTGACCAATTGGACTTAAGAGAGATCTACAGAATATTTCACCCATCAACCACAGAATATACATTCTTCTCATCTACACACAAAGCACACTCCATAATAGACCATATGCTTAACCATAAAGCAAGTCTCAATAAACTAAAAAAAACTTAACATACAAGCCATTGTTTTGGACCACAGTAGAATAAAAATAGCAATCAATACCAAGAAAATCTCTCAAAACTACACAATTACATGGAAATAAACATCTTGCCCCTGAATGACTTTTGGTTAAGCAGTAAAATTAAGGCAGAAATGAAAAATTATTTGAAATAAATGAAAACAGAGATACAACATACCAAAATCTTTGAGATGCAGCAAAAGCAATGTTTAGAGGAAAGTTTATAGTGCGAAAAACCTACATCAAGAAGTTAGAAAGATCTCAAATTAAACTAACATCACACAAATACAAGAACAAAATAACCCCAAAGCTGGAAGAAGAAAATAAATAACTAAAATCAAAGCAGAACTGAACAAAATTAAGATGCACAAATCTATACAACAGATCAACAAAACCAAAAGTTGTCTCTTTTAAACAATAAACAAGACTGATAGACCACTAGCTAGATTAACAAAGACAAAAAGAAAGAAGGTCCTAATAGGCAAAATCAGAAATGACAAAAGTAACATTACAACCAATCCGACAGAAATATACAAAAGATCATCAAAGACTGTGATGAACACCTTTATGCACACAAACCAGAAAATCCAGAGGAAATGGATCAACTCCTGGAAACACATAACCTCCCAAGATTATATCAGGAACAAATTGTAATGCTGAACAGACCAATATCCAATTCCAAAATTGAATCAGTAGTAGAAAACCTACCAACCAAAAAAAGCCCCAAATGGATTCACAGCCAAGTCCTACAAGATGTACACAGAAGAGCTGATACTACTTTTAATGAAATTGTTCAAAAAAATTGAGGGGGAGGAACTCCTCTCTAACTCATTCTATAAAGCCAGCATTACCCTGATACCAAAATATGGCAAAGACACAGTGAAAAAAGAAAACTACAGGTCAATATTACTGAAGAACATGGATACAAAAACACTCAACAAAATACTAGCAAACTAAAACCAGAATCACATCAAAAAGTTAATTCACCATGATCAAGTGGGCTTTATTCCTGAGATGCAAGGTTGTTTCAACATATGCAAGTCAGTAAATGTGATTTACCACATAACAGAATGAAAAACAAAAATCAAATGATCATCTCAATAGATGTAGAACAGGCGTTTGATAAAATCCAAAATGCCTTTATGATAAAAACACTCAACAAATTAGGCTTAGAAAGAACATATCTCAAAATAGTAAGAACGATCTAAGAGAAACCCACAGCCAACATCATACTGAATGGGCAGAAGTTGGAAGCATGCCCCTTAAGAACAGGAAGAAAACAAAAATGCCCACTCTCACTATTCCCATTCTGCATGGC